GCCCGAGCAGCACCGCCGGGTGGTGAGCGCCGCCCTGCGCCGCCCCCCGCGCCACGGCCGCGGCCCGCTCCTCCTCTACCTCCTCGACGTGCTGGAGCTGCCCGACCCGGTGCTGCCCCAGCTGCCGGGGCTGCTGGGCCCCGACGTCCCCGTCGCCGGGCTGCTGGTGGTGGGCAACAAGGTGGACCTGCTGCCTGCCGACTCCCCTGGGCACCTGGGGCGCCTGCGGCAGCGGGTGGCAGCGGCCTGCGCCGGGGCCGGCCTGCGCGGAGCCCCGCTGGTGGATGTCCGCCTGGTGAGCGCCAAGACGGGCTTCGGCCTGGAGGGGCTGGTCAGCCGGCTGCAGCGCTCGTGGAGGTGCGCCGGAGACGTCTACCTGCTGGGCGCTACCAACTCCGGCAAGTCGACACTCTTCAACGCCCTGCTGCGCTCCGACTACTGCAAGTCCCGTGCCCCCAACATCGTCGACAGGGCCACCATCTCCCACTGGCCAGGTCAGGAGCAACTCTCTTCCCGTCACGGTGGCGGGTGCCTGGAGGCCGGCTAGCCCCAGGCTTGCCGTGAGGCTACCTTTGGCCACCCCCTGGGGTGGGAGGACCCGTCGCCAAAGGGCTGCCCAGCACCCTGAAGCGTCGCCGCTGTGGGCAGCATGCTCCGATGCCGTGCTGTGCTTCGAACCGTCGCCTTCCTCGGGGCAGCGAGGGTGGGAGGCGTGTGCAGAGGGTGCTGCGCGTCTCGTGGCACTAAGGGGGCTGGTAAGCCAGAGCCAGCCTGCGTGCTCCCCTGGCAGTGGGGACAGTACCTGATCTGCGTGCCTTGCCGTCTCCCCATCAACTGGGGTGCCCTCAAGTCTAGAGAAACCAGGAGGTGGACTGGGGAGCACCTGTAAAACAATCGTAGGCCAAACCAAGCTGCCTAGAGGCAGGACTTGCCTGGGGTGTATTAAGTCAGTCTTGGCGCCATGTGGCTTTGAGACCTGTTTCATCAAACCATGGGTGAGAGCAGATCTCGAGCGGATGGGTGCCTCCTTCCTACCGCCCTGGCTGGGAGGCTAGTACTTTATGGGAGCAGCTGTAGTTCCACCTCCAACTTTGTGTTACTGGGTTTCACCCAAAAGCTGGAGAAGCAGTACTTTTTTTTTTTTTTTTTTTTTATTTTTTTCCTCAGAGCTTCAATGTGCCAGGTAGTCAGAAGCCCACGTGTGCCTTCTGTTTTTTCCAGGAACAACACTGAACCTATTGAAATTTCCAATTATTAATCCTACGTGTGACAGGATATTCCGAAGGCAGGAGAGGCTGAGAGAGGAGGCAACAAAAACAGAAGATCAACTAAGCAGTGAAGAAAAAAAGTACCTTAATCACCTTAAAAAACAAGGTTACTTTGTGGGTGAGTATTGCCTGAGTAAAGGTATTGCCCCTCTGCCCCGTTGAAAATACTGCATTACACAAAGGACTCCTTCATTTGCTGTAGAATCCAGTTGGTTTTGGCAAGTAATTCCTTCCCGCTTTGAAAGAACTCATTTCCATTTAATTATGGGAAGAACACGCTATCTGTAGTAGCAATAAAAAATTTCCAAACTTGCATTCAAGTTATTTTGGCCAGTTTTTGTTCCCTGAGTAACGGGTGCAAGACCTCTAGCTCCTGTGTAAGTAGCAGCATTAGTATTTCTTCTGAGTACTTATTTTTCAGCTGCTGTTGTAGCATTGCAGAGGTTTCCTCTGTGCAGTGCATCTCCCATCAGCATTTGCTAGCCTAGCTCAGATAGCTTAGTAGTTTACAATGGTACTCCATTATAGGCTATCTCTCGTTCCCAAAGGAAGAAAACAAGTTTCATTTTTAAATAATCACGTTTTGGCTGCAGGCCACAGTGGTTGTACATCATTTTAGTATGTATCCAAAAGAGGGGCTTGCCGGAAGATAGCTCTGATTTTTCAAGTAATTCTGTGTTTGACAGTCTAAGGCTCTAAAAAACAAAACAAAACAAAAAACCCAGCCTGCTTTACTGTAAAATGGAAATCATGGAGTGTCTGTGATCTGGTCCCTGCTAAGGTTTTGGGGCTTGAGGAGTGCAAAGCAAGAATTACAGAAGGGATTTCTTAGCATCTTGACTTTTGAACACACCAATTTCTAGCCACGTAGCATCTTTATCACCTTTATATTACCAACTTGCATCTCTTTTAAGCAAGGAAAGGGACAGATGTCCAATTGAAGGAAAGGCAGGTTAATAAATTAATTACCAGGAAATCTTTCATTTTAATCCAGGAAGAGTTGGAAGAACGTTTCAACAGCCGAAGTCTAGCCCGGTAGTTGACTTTGACCCTGACATGCTCTCCTACAGCATAGGCGAAGATCCCAGGCATTCCCCTAAGAAGCATGAGGAAAGGGAGGAGTTCACATACAATGAAGTGAAGGATGCTCGCTGGTGTTTTGACACTCCAGGGATTGTAAAGGAAAACTGTGTAGGTACCCTGTGGTGCTATGTTTTGGGATGATAGGGTTTGGGAGGACTGTTCTGCCTTAGCTGTGCATGTGGGAGAGTATTTCTGTTGCAGTCCTGGGCTTAGGATTCTTTTGGTTTGGGCAATTTTGTCAAAATATAGTTCGTGTTTACTTGGGAAGCATTTGCTGTGTTAACACTGTTGCATTTCTGAATAGCGCATACTGTGATCTTTGCAAAGGAACTGTATGACTGCATTGTCAAACTTTTTTAACATCTAAATGAAGGAAAGTAAGCGATAGTGCTGTAAGCAAGCTTTTACCAGCATCACCCAATGAAGTCTGCACTTTTTTAGCTCTACCAGCCTACTGGAAAAGGTGGAGCTTAAGAGGATAACCAGTGTTGTGTGACTGAACCAAATCTTTGAGAAAGCATTCTCCTGAAGCTAACGGGATCTGCAGTGTTCCTGTTAATAGCTCCAATACATCAGGCCTACCTCAATGTTTCAGTAGAGCAATGGCTCTGAAGCCAGTGCTGATGTAGTGCACACGTCCAAAAAAGTCGTGTTTTGATTTTTGATCACTTCGATATCTTTGCAGAGCTGCAGTCATCTTTGGGGGAAAATTAAAAAGTACAAGGAGATGGGAAAGTTCTGAAGAGAATGAAGTGCAAGAACTGTACTGAGGCTGCGCAGCTCAAGTGCAGATGCTGCTTTCATGAGCACTATAAAACTGCTGGTTTTCTAGTACATGTGTTTGCCAGATCGTACGTAACCCACTTTACTGTGGCACTTGGCTCTCTGATAGCCAGTGTAAAGACAGTCATCAGCTTAGAGACCTGGCTTGGTAACTAGAGATTGGATATGTTCTTCCCCTCTTCTGGTGTTGAATAAGTGTGAAAAACAAGTGGGCTTTCCTGCATCCAGAAATACTTGCTGCCATTTCTAATTTTGATTATCCTCACTGTGTCTTTGGAGAGCTACATGCCAAGTTTCAGATGAAATTTTGTTCCTGCAGTCAGTGTTCGATCTGACTGGAGGACAAGCAGATTGTTTATGTGGCAGATTTTGGCAGGGGAGATTTCTAGTTATGAGCAGGTTTGGGGGGGAGTTTTTTGTTGGGTGGGTTTTTGGGTTTTGTTTTTTTTTTTTAAGAAGAGGGAAGGAAAGTGGCGGTTAGCATATAATGGAATTACATTTTTGTTCTTATTCCTTGGAGGTATGTTATATCTGCTTCTTCATGACTCCCTCCAAAGCCAAACTTCTGGAAAGCCTAGAAAAGGATTACTGATAACTCAAATTTTGGATTAAGCATTGCCAAACACATGAGAGAACCTGCAGCTAGCAGGGCAAAGCCTCCTCATCTTTTAGAATCGGTATTGAAGGCTGCCCTGACTTTCAAGCTAAAGATTGTCTGCTTGTGAACATAGGAAGAACATTAGGGGTTCTGGCTGCACCACAACCCTTGTTAGTTCAGTCTTTTAATGCTGAACTGAAGTTAATCCTCATGGCCAGACTGCTACAAACTTGTATTTGCATGACTGTGGCGGCATGCCTGGGCGGCACAGGCGGAAGCATTTGTGCTGTCACTTCCCTGCGTTTAAGAAAGAGACACTGTCAACCGGGAGACTAGTTGCTTCTTTCCTTCAAGGCACTGCTTCCTGAAATTCTTTGCCTGCACGTTGTTTCATAGCTGGGTTTGAACAGTGCTTCTGTAAAAAGTGATCAGACCACTGTGGCTGCAGCCCTGCTAGTTAAGTCTCTGGCTTTTAAGTAGACTTTGAGATGGATCATTTCACTGAAACAAGTTAGCACCTAAAGAGATGAGCCAGTTAAGCCAGGAGATGGAAAGGAAGAGGGAGGAGAAGACGACAGGCAGCAGGAGCATTTGGGAGCCCTCACAGAGGGGAGAGCTTGTTTCACTGTGCCCAGGGTAGGGATCCGTGCTGTAATCCTGCAGTTTGAGTTGTTTCATAGTGTCATCCAGCACTTTTCTCACAGTGAGATATTTGCGACTAGTTTTGCTGCTGGTATTGATTCAGAGCTTTGCATCACTACCTAAGTGGGGTAACTCAAATGTCATAGCAGAAGGTGGTTTCCAGTTCTGCACATGGCTGCACTCATGCTAAAGCACAGTAAACCTTGGGTGAGCTTGTTCCAGCCAGGCCCAGGATTCCCAAATCTGTGGTCCAACAGGCTGCTGGCAGCTGTTCTACTTTGTTATGGACCTTCATTGCCATGGAGATTGTTGACATCCCTACCTCCTGCTGTTTCTCACTTACTGTGTGGACCAGAATTTAACTGTTCTGTTAGATGTTCTTCACGCTGCTCTACTAATGCCAGTATTAATTTCATTGTCCCCATTGAAAAATCTGGAATGAGTTACGGCAGTACAATTATTTTGCAGGTTTTAAATCTCCTGACAGAGAAAGAAGTAAAGCTGGTTTTGCCAACACAGGCCATCGTTCCACGGACCTTCATTCTCAAGCCAGGAATGGTCTTGTTTTTAGCAGCTTTGGGACGTGTAGACTACTTAGAGGTAAGGGAAGAAAGGATTTTGTGAGCAGCTGCTTCATCTCTTCTTATAGTACCAGACGATAAAATGCTTTCTGGGTAGCTTTCCCAGACCCTTTCTCTGCTGCTTTTGAGATGATGATTCTGTTAATAAAGCACTGCATAAAGTCAAAATGCCTTGGGGTGGGGAGTTGCAGTTAAAAGGTTTGATACTTGTTATCAGCCTGCTGTATTTTATATCATATAACAGTAACAGCTTTTGAATGCTTAGTGTGCTTCCCATAACATACAAAGGCACAAGGCAGGGAGAGAGGGAGGGAAGGAAGAGAGTGTGAAAATTAGCTGGGAAAATAGCTGGGTTTCCTCATTTCTTGTTTTGTGAGAGCCGTCTGCCAAGAGAGAAAAGCATGGGCATTTTTCTTTCTGACACAGACTGTTCTGAAGAGTTTGCCCAAGGAAGCAATTAAATGTAAATGTATTTTAGTTTCTGTAAAAATATTTTTTTAAAGGCGGTTTGTCTGTGTGTCCCCGCCAATTTCTTCCGTTTATTAGAAATGCCATGTCACACACCTTTATTGAACTGTGTGGAGCTGACCTCCCATGATGTTTCCTCTGGAAGGAGTGGTTTCTTCCAGATACAGAAGATATATCTAGCACTTATGATAATGCCTTTCTCAGTAGTTTGTCCCATTTTGGGAAGGGGGTGTGTGTATGGCTGTTCCTTTGTTTCAGTCAGCTTTCCAATATCACCGTAGAAATGTTGAATTGGTACTTTGCTGAGGACAGTCTTGACCTGCTGGGAGAAAACCAGTAAGGTGGAGGGGACAGGGTTCTGTAAGTAATAATGTACCAGTATGGCAGGAGAGCTCCACTGTAGTTAAGGTGAGAATCCAGAGCCCTGTCCTGAAAAACGGTACAGAGGAGTAATGCCTCACTCAGAAAAAATGCTGTTTGTGAGGAGAGCAACCCAGCAGAATAAAACCTGTCTTTGTCCATACTGTCTTGGGCAAAGCTCTCAGAAAAGAACTTCCTAGGCATGTTGGTTGGGCGCTATCAGGGACTTAAGAAAGCACCTGGATTTGCATCCCTGACAAAGTAGGACAGTGATACAGGTGACATCTTGCTGGCAGTAAACACCCTCTGCACAAATGCTGCAAGATCAGGCAGCCACAGAGCTGCCCAAGGGGTTGTTTTGTCACGAGGGATAACTTCTGTTCTTAGAAGTTGTGGAGAACACAGCTGGTGTTGGCAGCCTGGGGAACCTGAGGTCAGGGTGAAGCAGTGTCACACCATCTCCTGGTAAGAGGATCAGGCTCAGAGACATGTCCAGTGCAGCAGGGCTGGCAGTCAGGCTTCGTGCTATAAGCCTGTTCTCCATGTAATGGTGCACCTAGCAAGCTGAGCTGTGCGTGTTCAGGGCCCTGCAGGTCCTCGGTATCTGTCTCAGCCCATTGCTGTATCAGTCTTGCGTATCTACATCTTCCAGAGGCCTTGAAGGAGGACTCAGGTCATGACAGGAGTCCCTGCCTCAGATTAGATCTGTGAGGAACTTGAAGGAATTGCTGCACTTGGGTTTCCTTATTTCAGACTGCTAGCAACATTTATAGAGGTTTCTCCCCTCTCTCACCTTGTTTGCTTTGCATGCAAAAGCTAAGAGAGTGCCTGCTGAAACTGCTCCACATTCAGTCTTTGCATAGCTTGAGAGCAGCTTGGAATGAAGTATGGTTTAATGAGTGGTGTGTGTTAGACATGTAAAGTGATAGGAGAAGAAGCACCAGACAGGAGATGGCCATCACCTCTCATGCTAAATAACCACACTGAGTTTGTTCTTGGGAATTAAACTTGAGCAAAGATATCTCTTGGATGATTTGCCTGAGCTGAGCAAATGAAATGGCAGGGGATACGGTATTGGGGGTGCTTTGAGGCAGGATGGTGAAGCCGTGGGTGCTTCTCTCCTGGAAGCTCAGCTCCCCTGTTTATGTAAACCCTGGCTGTTCTGCAGTGACAGGGGCAAGGACCCCTCGGGCAAGGAGGGGACATCAAACAGGTTTTCAACATGCAGGAAAGAAACAGAGCAAGAGAAAGCAATTCAGGGCTGCTTTTCTGTTATCATAAATAACATCCTCTTCTTGCTACTTATTTCAGGGAGAAAAGCCTGCCTGGTTTTCTGTCGTGGCTTCTAACCTGTTGCCAGTCCACATTTCTATCCTGAGTAAAGCAGATGCCATCTATGAGAAACATGCTGGCCAAGAGTTACTAAAGGTAAGAGGAGGTGCTGTCCTGGGCTTATGGTTGCAGATAGGCAGGTGTCGTGGTTTAACCCCAGCCAGCAACCAAGTACCACGCAGCCGCTCACTTACTCCCCCCCATCCAGTGGGATGGGGGAGAAAATCGGGAAAAAGAAGTAAAACTCCTGGGTTGAGATAAGAACGGTTTAATAGAACAGAAAAGAAGAAACTAATAATGATAATGATAACACTAATAAAATGACAACAGTAGTAATAAAAGAATTGGAATGTACAAATGATGCGCAGGGCAATTGCTCACCACCTGCCGACCTACACCCAGCTAGTCCCCGAGCAGCGATTCCCCGCCCCCACTTCCCAGTTCCTATATTACATGGGACGTCACACGGTATGGAATACACAGTTGGCCAGTTTGGGTCAGGTGCCCTGGCTGTGTCCTGTGCCAACTTCTTGTGCCCTGGCTGGGCATGAGAAGCTAAAAAATCCTTGACTATAGTCTAAACACTACTGAGCAACAACTGAAAACATCAGTGTGTTATCAACATTCTTCACATACTGAACTCAAAACATAGCACTGTACCAGCTACTAGGAAGACAGTTAACTCTATCCCAGCTGAAACCAGGACAGCAGGCCATCCCACCTGCTGAAGTGCCCTGGCTGGGGCACAATTAACGGAGAAAACCAGGATGTGTCAGGAGTTTGAGACTTCTGCATTGGGAGAGTGGAGATCTGCAGTGTGAAGTGGTCTTGCACAGGCTGCATGGCTGCAGCTGTGTTAGGAGAGAGCACCTGAGATGATACGTTTTCAGCAGAGCTTTTGTTTCTAGCATTCAAGCTGATTAAGATTTACAGTGCTCTGCTCTCTGCTCAGCTTTTCTTGAACAGCCTTAAAGTGCAGGCAGCAACGGGGATATTTTCCATGGCAGACTTCAGACTGGGGTTTCAGAACAGATTGCAGTTGAAAAAGGTACCTTTCTTATTCTTTGCCCGTGCTGCACATACCTTCATCTTTTGGTGGTCTGACTTTTTCCTTGGTATTGCCACATACTGTGTAGCACTTGCAGATTGATGGCGGATGGGGTGAGCTGTCCTTGTCTTGGCAGCTCCATTCCTGTGCACATGGAGAACAAGTGCTGTCACTCACATCAAGGCAGCTGTCTTGAGCCACCAGCTGGGTTGTGCAGTGGGCATCTTAGCTCACCTCTGAGCTCCCACTGGGTTGCTCTGGATGTGATCCTGATTCTGTTCTTGGCAAACCTGAAATAACTCCTGTAGGGTACTCAAGCCAGCTCTTACCTGGCTAACAACAGTCTAATATCTTTATTCCCACTTATGCCTTGCTCGCCAGCTTAAGGTAGGAGTGCTGAAGCATCTCTTGACTGTTAAATCTTTTCTCCATGTTTTGATCTTAGGTTCCTATGGGTGGGGAAGAGCGAATGAAAGAGTTCCCCCCGCTTGTCCCTCAGCACATCACACTGAAAGGAATTGGTACCACTGAGGCTGTCGCAGATATCAAGCTTTCCTCTGCAGGTAATTTAATATTGCTTCATTAGTTTGCTTTGCAGGATCTGCGTCTAGAAACATTGATGGGAAGAGGCGTCTGAAGGGTTGAAGTCATATTTCCTGCTCAGAGCAGGACTGTCACCAGCACAAAATCAGGGCAGCCATGACTTTGTCCAGCTGAGGCTTGGCAACCTCCAAAAATGGAGATTGACAACCACACTTGTACAGGATAACCACATTGGAATACTTTATGCTCTGGCTGCCGTACAAGTTCCACAGCATCAGGAATGGCTGTGACACTGTCGGCCGTCCAGGTGAGACAGAAAGGGCCATGTATTGGAAAGCTTTATTACTGTGTTTTTTGGTAGTTCCCACCATCCCTCTTAAGTTCACCAGGAAAGAGCTGTGTCTGGTGTGGCTGAGTAAGGTGTGGCTTTAGGTGCTGGGAAAGGGCTGGATATTACCTTTGAGATCGGTTTCTCAAAGAAATCACACCTGGATAGTTCAGGTTCTTAGCCAATATGGAAGGCACTGAGTTTGTGCCAGAACCCTCGTTCTGATCCTAGTGACTCATCTTGCTGACTGGTTGGTTTTTTTTGGCTGTGCAGGCTGGGTGGCAGTGACGGCTCACACAGAAGAGAAATTGCTACTCCGAGCCTATACTCCCAAGGGCACCACGTTGGTGGTGCGGGAGCCTCCCCTTTTGCCATACATCAGTACCATCAGAGGGGCCCGGATTGCAGGCACTGCTGCCTATAGGACCAAAAAGCCTCCCTCCCTGGTGGAAAACCTGAAAACCACAGAAAGGAGATAGCACTTATCATCATCTGAGCAAGGTAGAAGACAGAACAGCCTCTGGAGAACCTTGTTGCTTATTGATATTCAGGAGAGCTTGGAGTCCTTTTTAAAGGCAGACAGGCACATTTTTGAAAGCAGGCCTGGGGGAACTCTACAAGTCCACATCTGATCCAGCTGCTGAACTGCAGCCATTTTGAATGAGCTGAGCAGCTGGTACCTTGCTGTAAGAGGTGAAACGGCTTCTCCCTGGGACCTGCCAGTATCTATGAGCAAATACCTTTACCTGTTTCCTCTTGAAATACAGCTTGGAAGCTCACCTGCCTGCCCTGGGCTGGCTTTGCTGTTCATAGAGTAGGTGTTCTCTTGCAGACATGCTCCTGCAGGTCAGAAATCATCACCTTGTTCTTGGAGGCTTTACAGTGTTTCCAAAGTTGAAGGAGGTGGAGGGAGTGAGGAGGAGCAGGGAATGCTCTAGTGTGGGTATGACCCTCCTAGTGGCTTGCAGTAATTCAACAACATCAACCAAAAATCAGGTCCTTTTTGTCCTTCAACATCTGGGGCAGAAGAGGGAATGCAATGCCCTGCTTTTGGACACAGGAAAGGTGGATTAACAAAAAGCAGGTCGGCTCGCATGCCTGAAGAGGAAACCTTTGCGACTCACTGCTTTGGTTTCTTGTCCTGCTGAAACCAGGACAAACTTGTGTAAAGGTTTCTGAAACTGAGGGTGTAGAATAAAACTTTGCAAAGACACTTACTCCTTTGTATCCTTTTCAAATCACTGACAAAGCACTCTTGTGTGGCCATAAGCATCCTGCTAACTACACAAAACCTCCAGTAGGAAGGCCAGTGTTGGAGGAAAGTGTATCATGCCAGGTCTGACAGCTGAAGAGAGGTGAGGCTGCTGCAGCTCTATCCTGCCAGGCACAGAGTGCACACATGCACTGCATACATACACCTCTGGCCACACAGATCACAGATGGACACACAGCACTTAATGCAAACATAGACAGTGCCAACAGCCTGTATCCACACGTGCGCACACAGACACACACACACACAGGGTGGATCTCTCCAGCTGCTGGGGTGGACGCTTGGTGATGCCACTTTCCCTGTTGCTGGCACCTGGAGATGTGAGCCCCTGAGGCTGCAGCACCACTCCAGTTACTGGTACAGACAGTCTCCCTCACAGACATTCAACTGGCCAGGACTTTCCTGGTCCCGTAGCCTCATGCTCTCCTAGAGCCATCCAGGTGCTCTGACACCCTGAGCTGGCCCTTAGAGGCCCCCACGCTTCTCCCAGGCCGTTCTCCAGCTAGTCCAGCTTGATCTTCACAAGCAATAACACGCTTGTCCCCACTTCAGTTGCTGCACCATTGGGACACAGCTCCTCCGACCCACGGTCTGGCTCCAGTTGCTGCCTTCACATCCCCATGTACACACGCAGACACAGAATACAGAGCCCTCACCCAAGAATGTTAGAAAGGAATTTAATAAGGACACAGGTTAGATTGTGCTAGTGAGGTGCAGGGCATGGCCAGACAAGTGTACTGACTAGCCAACTGTTTACACATAACTAGCCCTCTTTATCCCCTTACCCCTCTATTATTTCCCACACCTGTTCCCCAAATCACCTAAATCCCTCCATTTTCCCACCTTTGATTCTTCCCCTGAATAAGTCCTGTGCAAAATGTTCCCCTGCATTCCCTGGTGTGTCCCACGCCCCTAGACAGTGATCCTCCTTAGCCCAAAAGGTGACCTGGAGAGCTCCCATGACATACAGACTCATGGCTTGGCTGAGCTTGAAGGGGCCTCTGGAGGTCCTCTGGGCCAACCCCCCTGCTCGAGCAAGGCCACTTAGAGCAGGCTGCCCAGTACTGTGTCTAGATGGGCTTTACTATCTCCACTGATGGAGACTCCATGACCTCTCTGGGCAACCTTTGCCGGTGTTCGGTCACCCTCACAGTAAAAAAGTGTTTCCTGATGTTCATAAGGAACCTCCTGTGTTTCAGGTTGTGCCCATTGCCTCTGGTCCTATCACTGGGCATCACTGAGAAGAGCCTGGCTCTGTCCTCTTTGCACCCTCCCTTCAGGTGTTTATAAACATTGATGAGATCCCCCCAAGACAAAGACTGACTGTGATGGGTGTCACTCCTGGACAGAGGGGCTGATGGCTCTGCAAACACAGCCCTGAAAGGGTGTTCATTCCTCAGGAGTCCTTCAGCTGGGTTTCTGTCCGTGCTGTGCCCCTGGGCAGCTCTAGGCTTGTGCAGATGGGCTTTTGATGGTCCCAATGATGGGCCTGGGAGTAGCCAGGCAGGGCATTATTTGGGATCCCGCTCCCACCGCTGTGTGTGTGTGTGAGCTCCTTTGTGGGTGTGCAGCCTGGGCTGGAGAAGTTGCTTTAGTTTGGATGATGCTTAAGGATGCCTCTTCACCAGCCTGCACTGCAGCTACGTTAGACAGCTCAACAGGGCCAGCCTGCAGAAACCCGGCACTAGCCCCATCTTGCTGCCTAAAATGACATCAGCAACTAGAGCTAACCACAGGCATCCGTTTTTACTTACACCATCGCACAGATACACAATGTTTTGTGCCTTGAGGAGAACCTGTCTCCTGTCTTGTGTGGGTAACACACTTGATTTAATGGTGGGGGAGAAAACAGTGGAAAACAGAAGGTTGCAGCTCCTCATTTGTCAGGGTTATGTGGAGCAGTCCTGGAAAAGCAGGCATGGAAAAAGGCACGGCGTGCTCAGCTAAACTGGGAGGCAGGAAAGGGGTCTGGCTGCGGTCTGTTAAAACTAGCTTGACAAATCCAAGCCAGGCATCTCCCGTAACATTCCTCTGCTGCTATATGTCTGGGAAAGACACAACATGAAAGGCAAACAGCTCCGCATGTGGGAAGAGTAACTGGAAGACCTGCCTCTCCTTACAGCGGTGGTCCTCAGCCCAGGGGCTGGATGTGAAAAATTGCAGCCAAGGTGAATGTCTGGTGTAGCAGGTCCCCTGGTTGTTCAAAAAAACCCAAAAAGCCTATCTACAAGGACAGGTGACCTGCACTGGGCTCAGAGGGTGCCAGAGGTATACGCAGGAGAAAAGGCTTGCTGCCGACATGGGGATGTGCAGGGAGGGGGCATGCACGCCTCGCCTGCCCAGCATCCTTTTGTGTCCAACCCCGATGTGCAAGCAGCGAGCTGGGGCAGCGCAGGGGCCTAGCATCAGGCAGATGTTGAAGGGCTTTTGCAAAAGCCGTGTTGTGCCGTGAGAGCAGCAGCCGGCTAGCAAGAGCCCCAGCTGGGAACAAAAATGGGTGCTCCTGACATATGATAAACCTCGGCATGCAGGGGGTTGTAATGTGGCAGCAATTAGTGCCTCAATGAAAGCATAGACATGGCTTTTATGAGCTCCCAGGGCTGAATTACACAGGAGCTGAAGACTGCTTGGAAACTTTTCTCAAAGGGAGGATTCGTGTCTGGTTTATGCCAGACAGCCTGAAAGGTAAGACAATTTTTACCGTGCCTGTGGACAACAACCAATTTAATCTTAGCACAGGAGCCAAAAGCAAAGGTGGTTTGAGTCTGTGCAAAACTGAGGCATAAGGAGACGGCTTGGAAGGTCCAACCCCCTGGGAAAGTCTGCTCTTCATGGGTGTCCCAGTGTGCACTAGCAGGGTGCAATCATTTATAGCAGCTCCAGAAGAATGTATTCAGCAGAACCGCTCAGTTTGCTGGGGAACTGCACAAAAAAACCAGCTCACGGCTTCGGATGGGGCGGTTAAAATACAGGTAGAGGACCGATTGGAACATGTAACAGCTAAAGCTGGCTGGCAGTGCCCTTGAGCTGGCAGGGGGTTGCAGCACCCGGGGGTGTTTGTGTACCTGGACGGGAGTGCTCCTCAACTTCCCGGCAAAGTGCAGAGCTGGGTCGGAGCTGGGCAGTGTGGCGTGCAGAACTGCGCCAGGCAAGGGATGGCTGCACCTCCCCGATGCCCTGCAAGCAGGGATGTGCCACCACGGCTGGGAGCCCATGGGCTGGTTTGCTTTGGCACGCATCCAATGTGGCACCAGCTCACCCAAAAGAAAAAAAAAAAAGTAGCTTCCTTTCTCTGCCCAGTGGCTATTCCCTTTCAGAGCTGCTCATGGCAGGGGACTTCCAGCCCAGGAAAATGGCCACTGCTTTTCATGGCAAGAGCAGAACCAGTCCTATGTAAAGTTTGAAATTTTGCCCACTGTTAACACTCCCAAAATAGCCTGTAATGTGGGGAGAGGTGCATTGGGCTGGGAGCCTAATGGACCAGAAGTTTCGAGCATCTGCTTCCTGCTGATTTTCCTGTGATTCACAGCTTGCAATTACCCATAAACTTCCCTCACCAGCAACTGTCTTCACTGATCTTGTAGCTAAACTGCTGGGGGTTGCCCAACATGACTGGTGCTGGAGCAGAAACCTTATGGTGGGTCCATGCCTTGGCAGTGCATTGACCCGTCCCGGTGGTTCCTCCGGCGGCAGAGGAGAGCTGTGTCCGTGCAGGTCAGCTAGCAGTGTCCTGAAATACCAGGGGGAATTCATGACTGGCTGCTGTTGAGGATGAGTTGGTGGTAATGTCCCATGCCACATACTGGGTGCCATGGTGTGGCTGTGGCCACATCTTTGAATTATTCAGTGCCTCAGGTCCCCAGTCCAGCCTCACCAGGCAGCACCGAATCAAGAAAGAGGAGAAAAAGAAAAAAAAAAAGCCCTCAAACCATCAAGGTTATTCTGGCCAGTTCTGAGCAGGTGAAGGGCTTAGTGCCTTTTGGAAGGACTAGAGCAGCACATGAGCCCATTATTAAAACCAGGATCCCCAGCACAGCGACAGGAAAGGGGTTCAGCCTTCTTTTTGGTTTTCCTCCATGATTGCAGGGCTCAGGGATGCTGAACAGAGTGCAAACAGCCAGGCCAGGTCAGAGGGCAGGCGAACATGTGCTATGCTGCCCATGTGTTAGCTGGGGAGTGTGTCCTGTGCTGCGAGCGCGGGGTGCATGCCTGCAATGCCGCAGCTGCATGTTAGGTGCACGGTGCAAGTGCGTGCTATGCTGCAAGCATGTGCTCCTGAAATCTCCACTTAAAAATTACTGCCCCTTGGCATCCTGAGTCCCTGCGTAAGGCAGCACGACCTGCGCCAGCACTCAGGAGGTGGTCCTGCCGCTTTCTAACCACCCAAGGCACTGCCAATGAATGTCCCCGGTATCCCCACCAAGGGACCGGTCACCATCTTCCCAGTCAACTTTTTGCTGCAATCCTGCTTTGCCTGTTCATGATGGAAACAACAAACCCAGCCACAAACCTCATCTGTCCCCTCACCTCCAGCATAGCCTCTGCTGCAGATGACAGCAGTTTGAGTGCTCTGACCAATACAGGGCTAAAGGAAGCCAAGAATGACTCCTTCGACCAGCCCGTGGACAAGGGACAGGTTCAGCCACCTGGTTTGAGCCCGAGGCTGTCAGAGCACTGCCACCACATTGCCTTGCTGCAGGTTTGGGGTGTCCAGCAAAGGAGGGAGATGCAGGGAACTCGATTTACCAAGCTTAAAAATACAGGCTGGCCAAGGGAAGGATTTTACCCTTTTAGAATTGCCTTTTCCGATGTATAGGTTATACTGTACATGAACAAGGTAAAGCCACTTGCATCAGCGTGGCTAAGCTTTAAAAACCAAAACCCAAACACCAAAGTCAGGAACCTAGCATT